CTGTATATCATTAGCATTAAGTGAAATCCTTAGGGAGATCTTGGCTGTGTGTTCATGCGGAGATAAACATTCATGCTTATCCCGTCGAATAAACAGACACAGATTATCATGCTGCCAAAGACAACATGGTAACTGCTCCGGATACAGCCTCAAACACATCCACTAGTCCTCCATCAGGAGCCCTACACAGTTTACTCAGACACATGAAGCTGATTGGCATCTGACCAGCACTGAAAATAATTTATATCATTTATCATTTATATCAATTTATATCAACATTTTAACATCATGTATATTTTACTTTTGACTAAATGATTAACTTGGCAGAAGTTTGCTCAAATAAAAAATATTTTTCCTCTTTGCTGATAAGAAAGTGCCATGGCCTATCGTTTTTTAAACTGAACTGCTTATAGGATTGGATCTTTTTTTTAAATAGCCATGTTTTGCAAAGGAATTGTTGTAATTTTGGAAGATAACATTAAGCAGAAGAAAGCTTTTTTTTTATCACATGTGTTTGCTACGTGAAGAAGTTTGAGTTTACATACGTGGTAAAATATTTCCTCAACGGCAGTCGGTCTGAATTCTGCTCTTTAGTACTTCCATCCATCACCTGTGTGTGGATATCTGCAACTAAATGAATGTGCAGAGCAAATATACATGTCCTCCCTGACATACATAAACACGGTAAAGGTCAGACAGTATGCATTTCTTTTTCTATATTCTTTGGAATATTTGTTTATTTTACATGAAGCCAAACTAACTGGCTGAGCAGAAAAGTTAAGGTCAACATTACGTTTACTGGGCATAATAAAACCAGCTGGTGTCCATTTTCTTCTCTTTCCAACAATGCGTTATAATAAACATGGCATTTAAAATATTTGATTTTTTTATTGATTTATTTTGTTATGTTTTCTTTTCATTATACCCTCAGTTTTCTGCTCTTCCAACATTGTGGATCGCTTCTGTCCTCTAGTGGAGAGATAAAGAAAAGGTGAAAACACAACCTTGTCCTCCAAATATAAAGCTTATCAAGGCCTAACATGGTTAAATAGTGGCTTGGATGACGCCTGTGATTACACTTTTACATTGTGGTGTTTTTGCCAATTATTTATAAATCTTCCTTTTATTCATAATTTGATATGCTTGATATACATTTGTTGTGGAGACATTGCTTCAGCTTTTGCATCTTGCAGTCCATAGCTATGGGACACACATGTCCTCCTTGACCCTTTGGTAATCCATATATGGGGATATGTCTAGCCTCTGCACCCTCTATAGCAGGGGTGTCAAACTCAATGTCATCGCGGGCTACATTAGCATTATGGTTGCACTCAAAGGGTTGTAACTTTAAGACTATAGTCTTGAACTTTTTTAATCTCAGCTAAAAACTCACCTCTTTGCACTGGCTTTTAATAGGCCTACTAGTTGAACATAAAATGTTGACATTTGTATGTGTTTTTATATCTTTCTAGTCATTGTGCTTTTTATCTTGTTTTTAATTATTGTTTTATTATTTTACACCTATTTTGTTATTCTATATTGTATTTGTTCGCTGTAGAGCACTTTGGTCAACTGAGGTTGTTTTAAATGTGCTATATAAATAAATAAAGATTGTGATTGAGATATAAATATATATACATATATAATATAATGTATTATATATTACATTATTGCCTCTGCATTGGATTATTACCGGATAGGGTAATAACTTCATAATTAACTACGTCTGAAAGCAGAAGTCTAGGGCAAATAATTGCAAGTCTCTTCAGTGTGCATGTCACAAAATGAGATGCATTGTGGGACATGCAACATGCTTCTGTAAAGCGGCATGTAACTGTATAATAAACGTATTATATTTTTTGCAAGCTCTTGCGGGCAACATAAAATGAAGTTGCAGGCCGGATTTGGCCCACGGGCCTTGAGTTTGACACCCCTGCTCTATAGGCCTACAGTAAATGCATCCACATCAAGCACGGTGTGCCCCTGTGGGAATGAGTGGGAGGGCCAGTGGGATTTGAATCTGCCTCTGTTCCCACAGTTGCCTCTCAGCTGTGCTCTGAACAAGACTGACCCACACAAGCATAATACATATTAATTCATTAGATTTTCTGTTGGCTTAAAGGGGGGAAATATGTAATGCTTAAAAAGATGCTTTTGTTCCTCAAATTATCAAATCCAATTAATTGACATGCCTCCAATAAAATGAAAGCTTTTAGTTGAATGTGCAGACTGGGATAGAATCAACTAAAATAGATAGAAATATTAATAAAGGATGAACGTTATAAGTTTGCCTTTCAAAATTGGTAATTTTCTTGTCATTACTATTGAAAAGTTCCTATTATTCTAAAGAAAACTGTTTTAATGCATCTCTATGCCTACATCTTTACCCTCAGAAAAGACATATCATATGTTTTTTTTTCATACATATATTAAACAAAAAATATAAGGCAGAGAAAAGCACCTCGTATTTAACACTTAAAAAGGGCAACGGTTTGTTTGATTGTTTGATTAAAGTGATCGATGGACTGCATTTCCAAATAATAATACAACAAAGATGTTTTGGTTGTTTAATTTGGGGGGATTGTTGACAACAAAAGTCAAGTTTTTGCAGTATAAAAACATTTATTATGTGACAATGAATGTTTTTATACTACAAAAAAAAGTGGTGAGTCCCAAACCTATGGCAATTGGTATGTGTTTTATGTCATCTGTAGTATGAATTTTAAATGGAGTTTGGTTTGAATCATGATTTCTTTTTAAATAAAAAACACCCAGCAGATTGACTGTTTCTACCAGAAGAGATTAACACAAGTTTGTTTGTGTTGCATTTTGCTTCTCTGTAACTGTATATGTAGCATTTGAATATTCAGCACCATCTGTTTTAACCTCCTGTCTGTCTTTGTGACGTTTAGATACTACTGGACCCCAAAGCAGAGACTGACAAAAATAAAGTTTCAATGAGTTTAATAAACAAAGGTAGTCCAAGGCAGGTACTGACGACAGGGAGCTTGGCTGGCCGTAGTAAATCCAAAAATAAAGCTGCGGGAAAACGTTCCCGACCAAAACTCAAAAATAACTCCTTAACTAACTGCAAAGTGAACAACAACAGACTCCAGGCTGCAGAAAGGCACTCCGGACCGCGGGACAGCATGAAAAATACTCTGGCAGAGAAGTGATGTGAGGGCCAGGCTCTTAAAGAGCAGGTAATCAAGTGAGTGGGGACAGGTGTGCCTCATCTGCAGCCAGGAGTAACCAGCCACGCCCCCCTGTCACACACCAGCCCTGCAGAGACAGAAAGACAGAGGAGTGAGGGGTAAAAGGAGCACACAACAAGTAAAACACAAAAACAACAAAAGCCCCATGCAAAACATAACAGTCTTTGCCCCACTGATTTACTTCATAAACTCGGTTTAAGGAACATATGCTTAATCTAAACAGGAATTAAGTTTGGCAAGTTTTTTGGCAATAACAGGAAACTTAAGGGAGAACAAAATGTAACTTTTTTTGTATAGAAATAGTTTATTACTTCATTCCAAACACTTGCTGGGACTTTGCTGTTACCTCTGGATATTTCTTCATATTTCTCTCAGTGTTTTTTGTCTCTGTGGAGCAACACCTGTCCGGTACCTCAGGAGGTCACTGTTGAGCGGTTCCTGCAGCAGCTGTGTTCTTGGGTCAATATCTAATCTAGAATCTTTGTGTTTTTATTTATGGATGTGTCATAGGCTCTCTTAAAAATGATCAAATTGAAGCATCTTTGCTTCTCATATCATGCCTCTTTCCCTTCTATCAGCCTTTTGCTGTATACTACCTAAAACAGATATGCATGCAACTGAAACCATCATAAGACACTAAAACGAAAGAATTCCAGGAGGCTTTTTCCACCCTGGCAGGAAAATAAATTATATTCTTGACACATAAAGATAGCAAGACAGTGTTGAAAAGGGAAGACGGCTGGATTTAATCTGCATTAGGACTAAGCCCAAGTGCATGGGTTGCCATTTTGGGGAAATGTAGATTATAATAAAGCTTTATATCGGCTTTAAACTAATCTCCTACCTTCAGATTGAATATCATAACAGTTTCTTATCCCTGTTTGTTTTCAAATGTTGTGCCAAATAAGTTGGTGCAATATTTATAATGACGCAAACACTTACCTAACTTCTGTTTTCATATTGTCTGCTTATCTGTATTATTGTGTTGCATTGTTGGAGAAGCCTGTGACCTAAGATTTTCAATGACATAATTACTCTGTAGCTATGTTAGTTTGACAAAAAGAACCTTGAACCCTTGAACCTTGAGCCTTGAACCTTAGTACATCTAGTATGAATAACATGAAGCCATGTTGAGAAATGAAGGCAAATCCTGCATTGCCTAACAGCTAAATTTTGATTTCCCAACTGAGTTTTGGATCTGAATTTGTTTGCAAGCCTTTGGCAACTTTCTCTACCTTTTTACAAGGCCATCAACAAACAAGAGTTTGTATGAACTCTGTGTGAGTGTTGCGACAACTTTGAAATGTATGCACATAAAATAAACTTTAGTTTGATATTCATTTTAAATAGTGGTTATACTTTGGAGTTCAAGTTTCAAGCTTCAAGTTTTGAAGTGAAATTCCTCTTAACTTATTGTTTTATTTGATTTTCACTCGAGATAAGAAGAATCTGTGTCGACATGATAGAACGGAGCGCATTTGTTTGCGCTATTGATTGCTGCAAATGATTACCAAGAAGGACAAAACCAATAAACCCTTACAGGAATATTCTGTTTGTGTTACTGAATGATAGCAGAAGATGACTGGACAGGAAAATAAATCCATTGGAACACTAATTGCACTGTATTATAAAACAAAAAAACTTAAATCACTTTTTCTGTGATTTATTGAGCTTCAACTACCACATAAATCGTAGTCATACTTGAACCAATACAAAGAACAAATGTTTCAGGCTTTCTTAGTGATGCAGTGTGTCATTTAAGGTGTTGTGTGTGTTGTGACTTCCCCATTTGTTCTGTTGCCTGTGAGCTTCAGATTGGTTTGGAGGCTGGAACAGACTTGCGTAAATCATTGAGCAACCTCCTTCCCTGCGAAACCCTGAGCTCTCTCCCTCTCTCTGTATATAATAGTGTTTCAGTCTCCTGTCTCTACTTCTGTTTGGCGGTTCAGGGTAATGAAGATAACATGCATCTAATAACCCAAAGCTGTGTCCTTTTTTTGTGGATGCACTCGCTGACCTTCGTGAAAGGTGAAGGTAAGCCCAAGTATTACAATTTTGTATCTAACCATTTACCATTTACCGCTTGATGTTTTGTATCGGAGTTGGACACAAAATACTGATATGTATTTCTTGTCCCACAGAGTGTACACTCCAACAGTTTTTAAATAGCCCCCAGTATAATCAACATTTTGACACAAGTGGTCTGGCAGCCACATACAGTGGTGGAAAACAAGTCAGAGTGGGCTGCAATGTTGGCTTCAGTGGCTTTTTCAAACTGATCTGTGTCGAGGGAAAATGGGACACCAAAGGCACAATATGTACACGTGAGTTAGGATCTATTACTTTGTATATTCTACCATTAGGAAGTCATTCTATGCTAAGTACTTGTAAACATTATAAGCAACATGTAATCTTGTAATAGCATATGATTTTACCTATAAATGTCATGGTTTGAATCGGAGTACATTGCACAAGCAGGCTAAAAGTACTATTGTATCACCAAAAATTTGTTTTATCATTCTTACTTTTTAAGTAAAACCATGTGGTCATCCCGGTGATTCCCAGAATGCAGATTTTCAACTGGAAAAGGGAGAGGATTTTGTCTTTGGGTCACAGGTGAAATACACCTGTCACAAAGGGTATGAAAAGATATATAATTACAAATGTGTACTTCTTATGATTCTTTGACTTCCTACATATTATACGTTGTACATGAAGTTAACCCTGTATAACAAGCAGTACAGTTTAAATGTGGCTTTAACCCTTACATTTTAAATGAATGTATTACTATTTTCTACATTTCACCCCATTGCACCGTTATTACACCCATATTTAACTCATGTCACAACCATGTTACACTGTTATTACACCCACATTAATCCTATATTACACACATGTTACAACCGTATTACACCCATATTGCAATGTTATAGCACCCATTTTAAACATGGACACAGCCTATCACATGACTGTATACCCCGGGAAACAGGAACTATTTAATGGTGAACAAGGTATGTCCATCATCCTGTTACTACATTATCCTGTTTTCAGTTATCAAATGGTCAGTCGCACAAACTACCGGCGTTGCATGGCTGAGGGCTGGGATGGTAATATTCCTGTATGTGAAGGTAAGAGCTAAACAATTATGTTATTCTTCCAATAATTGACACTCAAAAACTCTATACATTTTAAATTGTTTTGGGTTATGTTTGTTTCAGCACAACAGTGTCCAATAATCAACGTGGACAAGCATGTCCAAGTGAATGGGGACATTGAGGAAGCAACCTTTGGCAATGTAGTTCGATTCAGCTGCAAGTCCAGCTCTAAAATGCTGTTTGGGTCAGCCGAGATGTATTGTGATGAAAATGGAGAGTGGGTGGGCAAATCTCCAACATGCAAAGGTATTGCAGTGTGTGAAAACAGGAAGCACAAAGTGTCTCATGTTGAGAAATAAACTGAAAATAGAGGGAAAGAGGTAGACAGGCACACATACACTATTAATCACCCTGTCAAGAACACCAACATAACAAAAAGCACATAATGACCACCATGTCAAATGTAAAAAAAGCAAAATATGTAATACCACCACCCCTCCAGTTGATCAAGGCGCATTCCACACTATGGCTTTTTCATTTGCCTTTTCCTTAAAGGTCCCCTATTATACTGTTTTTCATCAATATATTATAGGTCTCAGATATATACAAAACATGTCTCTGAAGTGTTTGGCTCCAAACACCAAACAGATCATTGTAGCATCCCATAAACCCCTCTGTTTCAGCCCTGTTTCAAAAGTGCTGATTCTCTGTCTGTTACTTTAGATGAAAATAAGGAGCCCCTCCCCACGCCCCTCTGAGAGATATTTGGTTAAAAAAAAAACAATGGAGCTCTAGGAGGAGATTCAGGTGATAAGGTGGGGTGGGGGGGGGGGGTTACCTTGGTTGGTGATTGGCTAATGGTTACACAAGCCAATAACTTGTGTAATTGGCTTGTAAAGTGGCCGAAATCTGATCAGCTCATTTTCAGACAGGTTTTTATATAAATGGATCAGGACAAAAAGTGAGCAAATCTTTGTTCCTGAAACTTTCAGAATCTCTTTATACAGTATAAACATATTATACATGTTTATGTATAAAAGACATGAAAAGACATTGCATAATAGGTGACCTTTCGGAAATCTTTATTCTTGCTTGTGTATTATTCAACAGAGATAATATGTACAGCACCCGAGATTGAAAATGGTGAAGTGCTTGAAGAAATCCAAGAGTACAAAGAACATCAAGTCCTGGAGTTTCAGTGTAATCCCTCATTTATACCTGCTGATGCCAGATCTCCAAAATGCACAAAGCATGGAGTAAGAGCAGAATGGAGCCCCACACCTCTGTGTGAACGTAAGTAAAAACTGAGTAATGCAGTGTACTGGTGACACTTCCCAATAAATATAGGTTCTGACGGATAATATGTTTATTTTCCAACAAATACAGCAATAACATGTAAACTACAACTGCCAGGGCTGAAAGGAACCAGCTATGAACCTGCTGAAAGAAACAGGTTTCTAGTTGGCGAACAAGTGACAGTAAATTGTGGAAACAACCACTGGATTTTTAGTCATCAACAGGTCTCAGTAGTAACTACATGCAAAGAGGACGGAGAGTGGACTATCACACCTGAATGCCAAGGTATGACACTGCTGTGAATGCTGTTTTATTTGTTTATATTTCATAAGCTCGATTACTTGAGATTTACAAAACGTTTTCTTATTCTAGAGGTTACGTGCAGCAAACGAGGAGTCCCACATGTGTCTTGGGACAGTCGTTGGCAGCTAACATTGAAATCGGGTGAGATGACACGTTATGGGTGCGCGAGAGGCTACAGGAGGAAATATGACAGGAACGACATGGCCACATGCACCCGAGATGGATGGCACCCAAATCCACTTTGTCAAGGTATTGTGAAGTAAACCTTATGTTTATAAGATATCTGTTATTTTGTTTCCATATTTGGCTATGGGGGGGGAGTTTTTACTATATAGTTTACTGTAAAAGCTACTTTCAAAAAAAGAGTCCCATGAACTGCAGCTAAGCACAGGAACAGTCAGGAATGTACTTCTTTTTTTTAATTGCTTACACATGCTTTTGAAATCATGGCTTTTTTCTTTTGATCACACAAGTCTTTAGGGTGGTATAAACATCATGACTAACAAAAACTAAACAAATATATTTTTATTTTTGTTTTATTATGTGTCCTTTGTAGAGGTCATCAGGTGTTAGTTATGCGAAGCATAGTATACAAACAACATTAACATACAAGTACATTTAGACAACATTAGAGCACAACAACTCAATGCAACAAATACTGAGCCCTCATTTGTAGTACTCCATCCTTTTTTGAAATGCAGAGATATATCTGACACTTGAGGCACTTGATGTATGTTTTCCCACTGCATCCGTCTGCCATGAACCCTACAGAAACCTAAGTGTTAGTTTTGGCCCATAGTGGACTCCATGTGTGTTGTGTAAAATGGGGGAAATAAAAAGTTAGCAAATCCCCATGTCCTCCTCAGAGGACATTCCTAAAAACATTTCGTTTTAGGTCAAATAGGTATTACACTGCTCTGAAAACTCACTACACTAACTCCTAAGATGTTCCCTTACTATAATTAATTAAAAATATTGAACTCACAACACTGGTAATTACAAAATTACAAACTTACCATTTATCTTTCTATAAATAGTGCCAGTGTTGATGGACGCCATTTTCGAAATACAATGAAATTATCTTTTTCAAAGCCACACCCGCACATATGTCATATGTTTGAAAAGCCCAGGATGTCCTCTGTGGAGTACAATTGGACTTAATGCTGTGGCATGCATAACCTCAAAGTAACGGACCAAAACCCAATGTGCTCCACAGAGGACAAAAATGAATGGGTGGGTCTCTGGAGGATAAACACTTGAAGTGTGCACCAAATGGCACACACTTCATTTAACATACGAGACACTTTGTCCAACCAACTTCAAACTCTGGTGTTCAATCAAAAGCACACTCATTTCTTATGGACTTTGTTCTGTATGTAGATAGTTCTGCAGGACAGAAATATGTGCAGAAACACAAATATTTTGTTGAAAGTAAACATTTGTATTTGTATCCTCAACTAATCTGCGAAACATGAATGCACAGCAAATACAGTCACAGTTGTGTGAACAAAAAACATGCTCTCAATCTGATACAGTAAATGGAAAAGAAAACTTAGAGAGAGGAAAGAAAAACACTTAAGCTTCATTTCACCACCTAGCTGGGTCTGGCCACAGCACGTCATCAACATGCAGAAGAAGCATGCATCTATAGGCTACAGTAGGCCTGACGGTCATAGAGCCTCAACTGTTAGGCTGCAAATCACTTTTCAATTGACTTTAATTCATCCTCCCTCTACCTCTTTCTGCTATGTCCATATATCCATTGTTGTTGTAAAAAGCTCTTACATGAAGCCTTTTTCTTGTGCTTACATCCTGATTGATGAGTCAACAATGAAGCAGTTTGGTGTCTATGGTCATTTGGCATGCGTATTTGTTAACTGCTTCATGTGTGTAGTATTTTTAATGGCAGTGTTTTGAAAATGGCAGACAAGTTAATATGTCAGATGTCTGTGTCTTACTTAGAGAACAGTGTGCAGTATATTGAATTGTAAATTGGGTTCAGAGCTGAAAATGTGTTTAGAGTTTTGGAGATTTGAGCTGAGGTTTTGCACATGTGTATATCTCCAATCTTTTCATATATATTGGTTTTCTTTTCAGTGATGACATGCCCTCAGCCGGGTTACCCGAATGCAGGCATTGTTGGAATCGACCTGGAAGAATATGAATACAGGGACAAAGTCAGGTTTATTTGCAACAACGGTTACGAGGGAGAATTCACTGTAACCTGTGGGGTTAACGGTTGGATCAGAGGTTTGCAATGTACAGGTAAAAACGTTTTCCTTTTTGTTATGCTTAAAAGACACATTAAGAACTTAATTTATTTGTAACAGGCTTGCTGTTCAGTAGATTATCAAGAAATGGATCACTTAAACAGTAAAAGGGGAGGTACCTTGTCTTTAAACTCTATTATATAGTTTCTATTTTTCTTTCTTTGTGTTGCCTCAACAACTGACTTTGGGGATCAACAAAGGCATTTTCTTTTCTTTTTCTTGAAGACATAATTTTTGAAATGGTTTGTTTGATTATGTTTTAATGTAACCGGAATAGCTGGAGGATGTGTGAATAACTTCAAATATTCTTTGAATTTGTTTCAGAAAGACGGTGCGAGAAACCTCACATCGACGATGCAAACTTTATCGGCGATGTAAGTGAAAGTTACAGGCAAAATGATCACATCCAGTATACGTGCAAGAACAACGTTGACATAATTGTTACTCTTACCTGTGAAGAAAATGGTTGGAATGAGACTCCGAGCTGTTCAGGTAAAGTCAAACAACAAATCATACAACAAATACAGCTTAAAGGAAAATGATAGAGGGATTTGGGTGTTTAATTAGCATGGTCTTAGCGTGTTCTCTTAACAGCTAAAAAATAACATCTTCAGTGACTTTAAATTGCATAACTACTTCGATGACCCTGTTTCATCAGTTTCAAAATGTGTACTGTTGAACAATTTCTACTTCATGCTTTTTCTCTCCCCTCAACACATGCCTGTTTACTTGAAAATGATAAATGAAGCTCCTCTCTTGATTTACTGCACTCTAAACTTTCATTTAAATAACAATGCTATCTTGTTATCATCCTGATCATTGCAATGCTAGCATGCTGTAAATGTATCAGGTCAACTGTCTTAGTTTAGCTTAGTTTAGCTTGTTAGCATGCTAACATTCGCTATTTATCAAGTCACGCCATCTCAATATCACTTATTTCTTTGTTTTTCATCAACAGCATGTTCAAACGTTAATGTCCCAAATGGATTTGTAGTGCCATACAACGACACCCTGTACTACACCTGTGAAGAAGGATATAAGCTTCCAACCAAAGGCTGGTGGGCTGAGGCCAAGTGCAATGACAGTGTGTCGTCCGAACTTAAATCATGCATCGGTAATTAATCTTTAATGCCTAACAGGTCTTGTTGTTGCAACCATCATGAAGCATACCAAAAACTATTTTAAAAGGTGTAGAAGAGGTTTTTTGGAAACGGTTAAGAATAAGATTTCCTAAGGATATACACAAACATAATACAAATCTATACTTTCTGAAAGAGATTATTAACGGTTTTGAGGAACACGAAAATCATCACAAATAAACACAATTTTGTATGATTTTGCAAGCATAAAAGCAATCGCAAATATAAAGCTAACGTTAAACTTAATAAGGCTATTAACTAATAACACAGTCACGCGACTTCAATTCCTCACCAAAGGCAGACTAATAATGACTTATGAAGTAGTCTGATTTTTGACACTTGTGAGCAACCACCTATTTGTAAAATGTTAATTAGTCTTAGTTTGAATTTGTTACAACTTCATTTATTTTTTAAAAGTGACATCCTTGATTGTTTACATTTTTATAATTTCAATGTTATGTATTGCTAATACCTGTTACAACAATAACAAACTAATTGTTTGAAACATATCCACTCTAGAGAATACAACGTGTGGAGATATTCCTGTTATTCCTAATGGGAACGTGACAGTTGCAGTCACAGGGGAAAGTGCCCAGGTTAATTGTAAAGAAGGATACAGCACTGACATGTCGCAGTTTAGTTGTCGTGATGGAAAATGGAATTCAAATGGAGTATCACTGAAAAGAATCTGTACACGTGAGTCATCTTCACTCTTAATCTGTACATGTTCATTATGATTAGAAGATCACATGGCGTAACCCAATGCTGTACATGTTTTCAACTTTTCAGCTATTGCCAATCTCTGCAATCCTCCACCTAAAGTACAGAATGCAGTTCTCATGACTCCATATCAGAAAAAATTCTTATCTGATTCCAAAGTTACTTATAAGTGCCGTAAAAGCTATACAGCGAATGGAAAACCCACGATTCGATGCAAAAATGGACAATGGGGGGAAACGCACATGATGTGCACACGTACGTACATGAAAAAGCATTTCACAAAATGTTGTTGTATGATGTATACATGGTAAAGGGAATTCACTGGCCTGAAGAAATACAGTATCTCTAAATCAGAATATGCTGTAAGGCAGTATTGGTTCATAATTTAGCTGTTCAAATATGTACACTTGATTGGTGTTCATACAACTTTATTAATGACATTATGATTTAAACTGAAAAAGAATTCCTTAAGAAATGCTACAATTATTTTCCAATGTATTATTATCATTAAGATGTGAAGCAGAAGATGCACTGATTTATGTTTATAGATCGCAAATAAAAAAGCGTCTCAAACTTTGTTATGGTTAGGATTAGGTTCTAGTTTCTCTTGGTTATGGTTAGAGAAAGGTTAGCAGACTCTTGTAAAAAGGATGGAGCTGAATGCATTATTTACACACTGCACTTTAAGATATGATACTGAACACATGTATTCCCTCCCACAGCTCCCGCTCAACAACGGTGATGCAGTGATTTTGTTGGTGGTCCAAAGAAATGCTAATAAAATGGACCCCCCAAAAATAATCTATGGTCTTTTTGGCATCTGTTCATCAGTAAGGAAGTGATTTTAAAGTGTGCATTACTCATACTCATATATCATCTTAATACATAATGCATGTATTATTATATACACTTGTTGGAAATTGAATGACTGAATCAATCATGTATGTATTAAACAATTTTTATACATTTGCCATATTGATTAAAAAATAAAATAAATTACAATTGCCTTATTTGGTCTCTTTATTGTGTTATAATGAAAAACAAGCCCGTAGTGACAGAATATGCTTTTTACTTATTGTAAGTGGCAGCTGCATAAAAAGACATGGCATTGTACAATACAAATTCAAAGACAAGAAATAAACAAGAAAGTAGAAAATATACATGTTGAATTTACAAATTAACAATAACAAGATATAAAGCAAGGTGTTGTATTTTTATATTTAAGTATGTGAGAGATGGAATATTAAATATTAGACTGAATATATAAATGTAAAATGTACAGTGAAGAGAAAAACTACAGCTTCAAAGGGGTCCAGCTCGATGCCGATGACAGACCCAGCTTTCCTGATCAGTTTATTTATTCTGCTGGTGTCACCGGCTCTGATGCTGATGTTAGTCAAGTTAGGGTAAGACATGTAGAAAGAAAAATGTAAAGGCGACTCGTGCTTTTGAAGGTTTTCAAATGGGAAATGTCCTAATTATTAGATTTTCTTTTAGTTAAACATCCTTATAGTGCATTATTTCAATACAGTAACTGTAATTCCGTCTTTGACTGGTTTTTCTACTTAATGATTTCAACAATGGACTTTGACTCTGTAGTATCAACACATTCCCCTCTCTGTCTGTGTCTGTGTATTCTCTTGTTCCGATTAACCCAGCCAAATCTTTTTTCTTGTTTTGTATCTATATCTACGCCGGGATCCGGAGTCGAGGCTGATCCTCTATCCTGAGTTCTGGATTAAGTCGTGGACGTTCGGGTCGTGGCTGAACCGGTCTCTGCGGTCCTGCCTTGGGTCTCGTCATGCTGCTTCCCTGATGGCTTCCACAGGATTGTAGCTGACATCCTCGTGGATTCATCTTATTATTACAGACACATGCATTTCCTAACATTCGGTCTATATGCTGTAAAATGTATTATCTCTTCGATTTACACACGGCATCTATTGCACGTCTGTCCGTCCTGGGAGAGGGATCCCTCCTCTGTTGCTCTCCCTGAGGTTTCTCCCATTTTTTCCCCTTAAACTGTGGGTTTTCTCTGGAAGTTTTTCCTTGTACGATGTGAGGGTCTAAGGATAGAGGGTGACGTTTTTCTCATACTGATATTGTGAACAATCTGTGCTGTTTTATTTGCTGTAAAGTGTCTCTACTGTAGGCTAATTTTATTATATGTACAGCACTTTGGCTCGACCACAAATCGTTTATAAATGTGCTATATAAATAAAACTTGATTTGATTTGATTGGATGTAGTAACTTGACAAACTGATACTCACAAACATATCCCAAAGACCCTCAGCTTTATTTCTAAGTTGCTTCATAGTCGTAAACCAGTGATGTTGTTACGGTCTGCAGGAAGCAAATGCAGATTTAAGTGACAAAATAATTCCTTTATTTCAAGGCTACAATATTTCAGAGACAGAACCGAACACTCACCGCAGTTTACTCACAACACAAGACGAACCGACACTGAACACAGGAAGAGACAAGACTAAATACAGGAAGGGGTAATCACAAGACGAGACACAGCCGGGCAGGGGAGGAGAAACACAAGGGCCACAGGTGAAAACAATCAGACAACTAGACACACCAGGGAAACTAACGACGGGAGGAAAAACACAGGAAGAAGGACCAGACAATATACAAGGATGAAAATACCCATAACCAGACATACAAAACTACAACACAGACAGATCCTAACAGTACCCCCCTCCTCTCAAGGGACGGATCCCAGACGTCCCAAAACAAAACCACAAAAAGTCCAAAACCACAAGCAGGGTGGGTGGAGGGGGTCCGGAGGAGGGACGTAGGCCACCAGGGTGGGTGGAGGGGGACCGGAGGAGGGACACAAAACTAGGGCCAACAGGGTGGGTGGAGGGGGTCTGGAGGACGGGCTTGGGCTGACAGCCCAGGGGTAAGGCAGAGCTTGAAAAGGGGGTTATGGAGGGGCGAAGGCCACCGCGGGCGAACTCAGGGGGCCGAGCATGAGGGCGAGGGCCGCGGCCGGGAAAGTCAGGGGGCCGGGCTCGAGGGCGAAGACTGCGGCTCTCAGAGGGCCGGGCTCGAGGGTGAAGACCACACAGCTCCGGAGGCCGGGCAGGAAGGCGCTGACGGGACAGCGCCGGAGGCCGGGCAGGACCCGGTGTCGGAGCTGGTGGGATAGGCCTCGGCAGGATCCCCCACGGAAGAGGACCAGGACACGGGATTGGCAGGACCCCCGGCAGGAGAGCAGTCGGCGGGACCTCCAACGGGACAGGACATAGGGTTGGCAGGACCCCCGGCAGGAGAGTAGTCGGCGGGGCCTCCAACGGCACAGGACAAAGGGTTGGCAGGACCCCCGGCAGGAGAGTAGTCGGCAGGGCCTCCAACGGCACAGGACAAAGGGTTGGCAGGACCCCCGGCAGGAGAGTAGACGGCGGGACCTCCAACGAGACAGACATGGAGTTGGCAGGACCCCCAGCGGAACCTCCAACGGACCAGGACATTGGGTAGGGACTCGAGAGGAGACTCGAGAGGGGAACCAAGGGGGAACTCGAGAGGGGAACCAAGGGGGAACTCGAGAGGGGACTCGAGAGGAGAACTAGAGAGGGGACTCCAGAGGGGACTAGAGGAGGAACTCGAGAGGGAACTGGAGAGGGGGACTCGAGAGGGGACTCGATTGGGAACTCAAGATGGGACCTGAGGAGGGACTAGGGAAAGGACTAGAGAAGGGGACTCGAGAGGGGACTCGAGAGGGGACCTAGAGAGGGGACTCGAGGAGGGAATAGAGAGGGGACTAAAGGAGGGACTAGAGGAGGGACTAGAGGAGGGGACTCGAGAGGGGATTCAAGAGGGGACTCGAGAGGGGACTAGAGGAGGGACTAGAGGAGGGACTTGAGTAGGGACTAGAGAAGGGACTAGAGGGACTCGGGAAGGGACCAGAGAGGGGACTAGAGGAGGGACTAGAGATGGAACTCGAGAGGTGACTCGAGAAGGAACTTGAGAGGAAACTGGAGAGGGGACTTGAGAAGGAACTTGAGAGGAAACTGGAGAGGGGACTCGGGAGGGAACTTGAGAAGAAACTGGAGAGGGGACTCGAGAGGAAACTTGAGATGGGACTGTGGCAGCTGGGGCCAGACCTGGGGTGCTGCCAGTGCTGGGTCTGGAACCATGGCTGCGGGGGCCGGAATTTAAGCCAGAATCATGGCTGTAAGGTCCGGTTCTGGAGCCGGAAACATGGCTGTAAGGTCCGGTTCAGGAGCCGGAAACATGGCTGAATGGGCCGGTTCAGGAGCCGGAACTGAAGCCAGAATCATGGCTGTAAGGTCCGGTTCTGAAGCCGGAAACATGGCTGTAAGGTCCGGTTCTGGAGCCGGAAACATGGCTGTAAGGTCCGGTTCTGGAGCCGGAAACATGGCTGTAAGGTCCGGTTCTGGAGCCGGAAACATGGCTGAATGGGCCGGCTCTGGAGCCGGAATTGAAGCCAGAATCTTGGCTGTAAGGTCCGGTTCTGAAGCCGGAAACATGGCTGTAAGGTCCGGTTCTGGAGCCGGAAACATGGCTGTAAGGTCCGGTTCTGGAGCCGGAAACATGGCTGTAAGGTCCGGTTCTGGAGCCGGAAACATGGCTGTATGGGCCGGCTCTGGAGCCGAATCCATGGCTGCCGGGACCGGTTCTGGAGCAAGGACCATGACTGCTGGGGCCAGAACTGGTTCTGGAACCATGGCCCTTTGGGCTCGTGCTGCCAACCTGGCCTTGCGACTCCTTCCTTTAGGAGCCGTTTGGAGGCTCCGTGGACCTCCAAAGGCCAGACGAGTACCAGCGAATGGCTCCTGGACTGTAGCACCGGGTGAGAAGCAGGGGCTGACGCCAGACAGACCACACCGATGCGTGTGGTATCAAAACGGGAGTTGGGAGGCCTGGGGCTGTCAGGCAGGGGATAACACACCGTGAGAAAATCCAAAATCCTGCCCGATAAGAATTTAACCAAGCCTGGCTTCTCCATAGTAATCCGGCGTGCCTCTGCCAGAACAGCCTCTCGCTGCTGAACCCTGGACGCTCCCAACCATCGATACGAGCAGTCATCCAGAGCAAAGGAAAACTCCAATAGCTCCTGCTCAAAAGGATCTGCTGGGCCCATATCTTGGTCGGGTTGTAATGTTACGGTGTGCAGGAAGCAGGACCCAAATGCAGATTTAAGTGACAAAATAATTCCTTTATTTCAAGGCTACAATATTTCAGAGACAGAACCGAACACTCACCGCAGTTTACTCACAACACAAGACGAACCGACACTGAACACAGGAAGAGACAAGACTAAATACAGGAAGGGGTAATCACAAGACGAGACACAGCCGGGCAGGGGAGGAGAAACACAAGGGCCACAGGTGAAAACAATCAGACAACTAGATACACCAGGGAAACTAACGACGGGAGGAAAAACACAGGAAGAAGGACCAGACAATATACAAGGATGAAAATACCCATAACCAGACATACAAAACTACAACACAGACAGATCCTAACAGATGTATCTGCTCCGTTAAACCATACCAATTTATGATCACTTTAATCTATAGTGTATTAAATACATTATTTGTTTTAGATGTCCATGTTGCTGATCCTGTCGGGTCCAACTTGATTTACCATACAATATTTCCTGATATCTGTCCCAAATGTTTATTAACATAATGTTTTCAGAAAGTGCAGAGTCTCTGGCAGTATTTTATGAATTATTTTTGAAAGGATACCAAAGGGAATACACTATTAAAAGACTACAAATAGATTATTTATAGTACAAAAGACACTGTCTATGAACTTTTCTGTCGCTTTATTATTGCTTTTACGAACAGTGTGTGCTCTTGTTTTCTAATGCGTCATGTTGTGTTCATACAGCCTTGTGCAATCCCACTGACCCTCGGTACTCCCCGACGACTGTGGCTGGGGACAAACACAGAAAGACAGAGTTGGTCAAAGAAGTTAGTCTCAATTAGACTTTGTCTCTGCACGGCTGCTCCTCAAAATGCAATTGTCTCTAATCCTCTTGCTTCTTCAACTGTGGGGGAGTGTGGAGGTTACCTTATCACAGAATGGTAAGACAGACTTTTTTTTATATATATATTTGCTTTTCGTTAGTAGAAACAGAATACAGGTTAAAGGGAGGGGGTGAAGTTCATGGATGTGATGTTGACTTTTTAATATTACAGTGTACTGTAAAGTTATATCCTCATTTTTAAGACATGTCCAATTAATCCTTGCATTCCCATGTTGCTGTTTGTTAGCATGTCCAAAGGTCCCACACATTCCTCATGCCCATGTGGTTGACGAGACCAAAAAAGCTGAGTACCAAGAAGGAAACGTGATACATTTCGCTTGTGAAACTGGTTATATATCAGGTATAACCATCAAATACGTATGTACAAACGAAGAGTGGCATGAACTCCGGAAAGGAAGTTGCAACTGTGAGTTAAACAGCTTTCTTCTTGAGTCATTTTTCTGTTACCACTTCAGTGACGGCTGTCATCAGTTTATAACAAATATAAATCCTTTAAAAACTGAAATTCATTTTTATAAAGACATGTTACATTATTTCCTTCAGGCTCAGAGTAGTTTCACATTTTATTGACACAACTGTAATTGCATACACTTGATTGTCCATAGTATCTGAAAACATTTGGAAGCACCCAGTCAATTTGCGTTCATGTTCAATTAAAATATCAAACATCAAAACAGGGATAATGTTACATTTATTAAGAAACTGTGCTAAGGAATATTCTTTTTTCAGTAAAGCCATGTGAACTCCCTGACGACACTCCCAATGGCTTTTATCAAATCATCCACGGAGAAGAGCTTGTTTTTGGAACACAAATTAAATACTTCTGTAATGAAGGGTAAGTGCTCATGGAATGATTCATAAAATAGACACGTATGTGTGTCTGTATGTATGATGCCTTAAGACATACTGTATGTCACCTGATTACAATTGTTTAAAATTATGTGTTTTTGGTCATAGGTTTCACAAGAAGAGTCACAGTGACAAATACAAATGTATTCTCACCTTCTTTATAGTGTGTTATAACTAGGGTTGCAAAGGGGCTGAAAGTTTCCGGTGAATTTCCGGAAGTTTCTAGGAAAGTTAAGCTGGGGAATTTTGGAAATATTCGATGCAAAATTTAACAAAAAACATGACATTTCAACAGATTTTTTTTTTTAAGTAGAACACAACAAGTTTTAATTATTTTATTGAACAATTATTTGTTTCATTGAAGAACGAAAACAGGAATGTTGAGTTAAATAATACTCATCCCCCCCAACTCCACTCATTAAAAAATGAACAAAAATGCACCCCCCCATCCAAAAATCCCCACAAAGTCCCATTCAAAATGTTAAATGAAAAGAGCCCTTCTCCCTCCAAAAAGTCCCATTAAACATGCACATCTCCCTTCAAGCAATCCTCTGCATTTTTGCTAAACCCTTTTAGTCAACGGGCTCTTCATGGGCCTCATCAACATCCAACTCTGAGTCTTCCTCTTCAGTGTTACTGTCCAGCCTTGTTGAGGATGTATGGCTCAAAGAGCCTTAGGTTTGCCCTCACATTTATGAGCCTGTTGCGAACCTTTGTGTGGTCTCAATAGCCATGCCGTAAGCAGTGTGCTATGGCATGGATATTTAAGTGTACTTGAATGGCATCTGTTTGTTTTAGTCAAGATTATGCCAAAACATACTTTCCCCAACTATATTTAAGTTCCCTATGAAGAGCCAACCTTCAATTTAGAAAATGCAATACTTCTTAATACATGCATGTGTGTATGTACAAGGAATACACAATGCATAGGCAAGTGGTGGCTTTATTTATGACCACAGCATGTACAGTGAACATGTACGTTGCATGCCGACTAACAACTGAATGCCTATTACCTTAACACGTCACCGTGTGGCGCACCAGCTACGGTGGCCTGCAAAGGACAAACTTAATCATATGAGAATGATCTACATCCCTTCTCTTTAGCTGATGTTTCTATCTGAAAGTAAATAACATTTAAGGCAGATGATATTGAACATTCCTTTAGCATTTGGTGACACAAACAATAAACCATTACTAAATACCTTACCAGGTAACAGGAAAAGGAAATGACTAAACATATCACTTTAACAAGATTGTCCAACAGTGTTACTGCACATATTTAGGGTTTGGTTTGCATGTGCGACCTGATCGTGTTATGTATGGTGTGTCACTGTTGTTGCAAGGGAAATGTGATGTGTGTCTTGGTAGTGAAGGGGAACTGTTCTGTGTCAGCCTGCTGTTTCTCTCAGGTGTTTGTGGTGTGTGGGGTACACAGTCCATCATAGAGGGGTCGGTGTTGTGAGGGTCGAAATCTTGAGGCTGCTGTTGCTGGGGCGACGGCTCGGGAACAGGAATGATGTGACGACGATTCCGTCTGTATGAAGTCCCGTTGGCTTGGATTATGTAAGAGCGTGGTTTCTCGCTCACTTCCTTGACAACGCCAAGCCGATCGTATCCTTTTGGGGTCTGCATCCTGATCACTTGTCCCTCTGCCAGGGGTTTCAGAGGAGAACTTGAGATGTCATAGTGGCGCTTTAGGATGAGCCGCTTGTTGAGGAGTTGTGTTCTGATTAGTTGTGCATCTTTTGGATTTGGCTGTAACAGTTTGGTACTCACAGGGATGGCTGCACGTGTTTGTCGCGACATCAGGCGTTCAGCAGAAGAGCCTAACGTTAGATCACGGGGAATGTTTCTGAGATTTACCAGGTTGAGGAAGACATCTGTGCCATCTCTGTGTGAACGTTCCATCAACTGTTTTGCACTGCGAACTGCTCTCTCTGCTAGTCCGTTTGACTGTGGGTATTCAGGACTGCTGGTGATGTGAACAAAGTCCCACTATTTTGCAAAGTCCTTGAAATGCTGACTGGCGTACTGTCCAGCATTATCAGAGATGAGTGTGTGTGGTGTGCCGAAAACAGAGAAATGTCTCTTCAATTTAGTTATCACAGTTGATGAGGTCACATCCCGGAGAAGGTCGATCTCAAACCAGCCAGAGTATGAGTCAACCAGCACCTGATACCGTTTTCCATGCCACTCGAAGATGTCTGTTGCCACTGTGGACCATGGGAGATCTGGCACAGGATGAAGCTGGAGGGGCTCCTTTTACTGATGGGATCTGGTGCTGTTGCACACTGCACATGAGAGCAACTCCTCAGTGATGTCTCTAGACATTTCTTGTCCAAAAGATGATGCTTCTTGCTCTGCGTTTGGTTTCTTCAATGCCGGGGTGTCCTCTGTGCACTATTTTGATGTACTCTCTGTGCAGGGACTGAGGAATAACAGTTTTGTGGCCTTTCATGACAATTCCCTCTTCTACTGTCATTTCATCTCTGTAGGGAAAGAAGAGACAGGTTGGAGCTGATTCTGTCGGATGGGCCATCCTCTATTAATGACTGCACTGAGGGCTTGCAGATCTTCGTCCTCTGCTGTGTGCTTTCTGAGTTCTTCCAGGTGGGCTGTGGAGATGTAGCTCACAGACATAACTTCATAAGCATCATTTTCAGCAGGGCTTTGAGATGTTTGTGCGGTTGGGGCAGAGATGGGGACTCGAGTCTGTGACTCGGACTCGAGTCGCACTTAAGTCGCACACACAGAGACTTCAGACTTGACTTGGACTCCTGCTCAAAAGACTTCGGACTCGACTTGGACTCGTGTTTTGGGAATCGTGAACAATCATTGTATTTTCTATTTTTGGCGTATTAAAGGTGGGGTAGGTAAGTTTGAGAAACCGGCTCGAGATCGCTAGAATTTGAAAATACACAACCGGAGAAAATCTGCCACTTCCTCACAGAGCCCCTCCTCCAACACACACGAACGCACACATGACCAATGAGGGCACGAGATAAGTTTGTGCCCCGATGGGAGGCTGACAGGCAGGTAGGCCATCCAGTTACTTTAGCCGGGCCGGCTATCGGGATGTTAAGAGCATTCCATGGAATATAACAAAAAGTGTATCTCGAGCCGGTTTCTCAAACTTACCTACCCCACCTTTAACATTAACATCATGGTAACACCATGGCGACCGGCGGCACACCTGCAGCTGTACCGCTTGTAATTAGGTTCAACTATAAAAACTTCGAACAAAACGCCGGCGGCACCAACTAAAGGAGCGCACACTGCAAAGTCTGCAATATTAAAATCAAGGATGCTGGTGCAACAACGTCAAATTTCATCAGGCACTTGAAAACTCACCCGGAGAGGTCAGTCACATTAACGCATATAGACGGTTAGCAAACATGTTTAGCTCAGCATCAGCTATGTAATGTTAACTTAGCTTGCTACTAGCTTTGTAATTGAATATTTGAAAAGAGGAGTGAATGTTTGCTTGTCACACTTGTTTGCGTTGAGTGGCGTTGACATCCAACTCTTGACATGACATAAAAAAGGTCGGTAACGTTAATCATTACGTTCCGCTGCTACCATCTACTGGCTAACGTTAAACGTAGAAAAATACATAGTTACATACATAAATACATCTGTCGGTTTATAGGCAGGTTACAGGTTTATTGTTGACCACGTAACGTTAATGTTACAGGTTTATCAGGTTACCATTACACTGGGTTTGAGTGAGAGGATAGAGGAATATGTTTATTTATAGTAGACTTAAAATATGTAATTAGAGACCCAGTGTAATTAAACAATACGGTTGCAGAGGTCACATTTTAACATTTTTGTCCACTGGACAAATGGCTAGCCTAGTGAATGTTGAACTGTTACCAGCCACTCAATAGATTGCCATTGTTATTTGTGGCTGGTGCGTGCAACATACAGTACCAGCCACTTGCATGATTTACCAGCATTTGGCTGGTAAATGGTGTTAATGGTAGATATCTCTTTTGGAACAGGTCATTTTTTAATATCACCAGTTCAGTATATTTCAGATAATATTGCAGCAATAGTTTTTTAGTTGCAAATGGCATAGAACAAATGTTTACTCTTAAGTACTTTTAACACAGTTTCCCTGCGGGGGATTAATAAAGTATTTGTGATTCTGATTCTGAAGTGTTTTGCTTATAAGTTGTTTGCATTTAGCTAAAGTGTGATGTTTTTCCTCATATTGCATTGCAATAGCCTGTTTAAAGTGATCATATAACAAACAACTAATCAGTACTGATACTGTATGCTAATAGATATAGGAGTGATAATAATACAGTAAATGCTTTGAATTTCTTAGATATAGCTGTGCAGTATTCTTAACAGACTGGATAGCAGCAGACAATAGAAGGCTTATTACAACCAGAAGAGACATGAGACTTTTTAGAGACTTGAGACTTGACTTGGACTCGTGACCAAAGACTTGAGACTTGATCAAGTCTCACCCCACAAAGACTTGAGACTTGACTTGGACTTGTGACCAAAGACTTGAGACTTGACTTGGACTTGCAAAAAAAGACTTGTGAACATCTCTGGGTTGGGGCACGTGAAAGAGTGTCTGCTACATACATATACTTGCCCTTTTTGTACACCAAACTGATGTCGTAGCTCTGCAGCCGGAGCAACATTCTCTGCAGACGGGCAGGGGCTGTGTGGATGGGCTTCTTTAAGATAGTCACTAAAGGTTGGTGGTCTGTCTCCACCACTACAGGCTTTCCATACACATAGTCTTTGAATTTTGTACAGGAAAACACGACAGCTAGCAGTTCTTTTTCAATTTGTGCATACCTCGTCTCTGTGTCAGTGAGGGTGCGTGATGCAAACGCTACTGGCCTGCCATCTTGCATGCACGCTGCTCCAAGTCCGTAGCATGACGCATCACAGGTGAGCGTGACTGGTCTTTTGACATCATAGTATGACAGAACAGGTGGACTTGATAAGCATGATCTAAGA